GCTGACCCCTGCTTGCAACTGCCCCCCTCCAACTGGTCCAGGAGGGCCAGGGCTCTGCGGAGTATCCTCAGCTTGCAGCTGCCCCAGGGTCAGGCCGGGATTCCCTGCCTCTCATCTGGGGGGCAGCTTCTCTATGGTGTCTAGGCCATGGTTCCCAGGCTCTCCTAGGGAGGCGGCTTTTCCTCAGGGGTGGAGCGACATTTTCTTTGGGATAGGTGCGGTTCCTAGCATCTCCGGGGGGGAGGAAGGGGCATTTCTGGTGGGAGCCAGGCTGTGCTTCTCAGCCCCAGGAGGTCACAGTGACAGGGCCAGTGAGTAGGGGGGCTCACCCCCATCTGGCACTGTTTGGGGCAGGGGTGCCACTTACCCAGTCTGGTGGCTGGCAATGTGGAGCCCCATCCCCAGCTGGCCACACTCCTGCTGGTGTGGCTGCCCCCAGTGGTCACTCTGCAGTATAGCTGTCCCTCCAATCAGCCCCTTCCCTTTCTATGTTATAGAAAACAAACCCATGCCAGGCACTTCCCGTTTTCCTATTACAACTAAATCCTGACCCTGCTTTAAGTTAGGCTAAGGGGAATCTGCACCTCAAATTTGGTGGTCCTAGTTTAGTAGGCGTTCTTGAGCAAACGGACTCGCAGATGGACAAATGGACTCTCAGACAGATGCACAAACTCTCTTATATATTGAGTCCGATCAATTCCGAGTTAGAGCTGAATTGTGAGCTTACTCTGCAGCAGTGCTGACAGCGAAGAAAAGCTACTTTTCCACCTGTATCTCATCTGCACAATGCCGTCCAGCGGAGCTGATTCGAGTGGTGTGGGACTTGTTACAGTCTGGCACTCATCATGAAATGGAGGAGCTTTTGGCTCTTCACTGTGATCTGTTCACAAAGCACTTCGCAGAAAATATCACTCACATTCAGTCTGAGTTGGACTCTGGCTGCTATGTAAGTAGGGAACTGAATGTGCTAAACGCACCACCCAGTCAGGGGTTTGTTTGTTTTTTTGAACAGTTTCAGCTATTGCAGACTGAGAATGTGGACAAGGTGCTTGGAGGAGTGTCACTGACCACATGCTCGCTTGACCCCTGCCCTTCATGGCTTATTAAATCTAGCCTGGAAGGGATGACTGGCTGGGTCCAGGCGATTATTAATGCATCTTTTAGATCTCGTATGGTTCCCGCCACCTTGAAAGAGGCGGTGATAAAACTGTTACTTAAGAAGCCTTCCCTGGACCCACATCATTTGAATAACTATCACCCAGTTGCTAATAATCCCTTTTTGGGCAAGATACTTGAGCCGGCGGTGGTGTTGCAACTCCAAGCTTTCTTGGAAGAAACGGATTACTTAGATCCATTTCAGTATGTCTTTAGGCGGGGTTTGTAAAAACATGTATAACCCGCGGGTTATATACACTAATTCACGGTAATTGGTATAACTTTTCATTAGTCTTTTTTAAAGTGATATATTATGAGTTATTATACCATCCTATTTAAAGTGCCTATTTAAAGGAACACTTATTTTGTTGTTAATGTCTTCTTAAAATGATTATACCTAAAATTATGATAAAGCTCTGTATTTTTAATCACATATGCAGTTTGTTAGTTACTTTTTGCAATATTTTAAGTTGGACAATGAAAATCAGTTTCACTTTCTGGTTCACACTGTTGCAGTGTTTGGGTTTCAAACACTACAGGGGAATGCTTATTTGTTTTAAAACAACTAAGTGGGTTTTAAACATAAATAATGGAAATGTTTGTTTTGTGTAAGCTTAAAAAATATAATCTTCAAAATTTTGAAACAAATACTTTCCATCAATAATTTAGACACCAGACCAATCAATTGGAAGAACACCAATTCTTTTAACAGCATTTACATGGGATGTTTTAGAAATAAAATTGTATTTTAATTTAAGGGGCTAACAAGGCCATAAAGTAAGTATGTAAAATCCCTCTTAATTAACCCACTAAAATAGAGATTTCAGGGGGTAGCGAAGTTAGTCTGCACAGAATGAACTCGGGTCATCCGAAGAAGTGGGCTGTGCCCACAAAAGCTCATGATGCCATCTACATGTTTTGTTAAGTCTATAAAATAGAGATTTTAGCATCTAGTCATTTACACAATTAAACAATAAGACTGGGCTTATCCGTTAATTTTAATAACTACGTGCACCCCACCCCCTTGCTGCCTGTGGGGGAGAGGTGGGAAGGAGTGCTCCCCATGAGTACCAGCTCCTGCAAAGGTTCCTGCCCTGCTGCCTCTGTATCAGAGGCAGCAGCACAGGGGAATGGGAAGGGGAGGCTGCCACAGGACCTGGTACAGAAGGAAAGGGATTGAGAAAGACAAGAGGGATAAAAACTAACCTATTTTTAAATAAAGATACTGAGAATTCATGTGACTATTTCTGACTTCCCCAGCAGGCAGGAGACTATTGAGCAAAGTCACAGAGAATCATAGAAGTTAGAGAGAGCACAAGACCCATTAGATTATCCAATTAATTTCCCAGCCTATGCAGGACTCTTCCCTACAGTCATTTTCTAGCAATCTAAGTTTAAAAGTCCCAGATTCACCACTGCCCAAGAGAGACTGTTCCACAGCCATATGTGTCTGACTGTCAACACTTCTTTAATAATACACAGCCTTACATTTCTCTCTTTTTCAATCTGTTTTAACACCAATTAACTACCTCTATTATAAATTCTAGTGTGCAAAGGACACAAATGTTTTTCCTTTTCGTGTTTAACTCAAATATTTGTGAAGTGTCCTTATGCTATGAGGTATAATGGTTAGTTAACATGCTCAGACACTACTAACATTTCTAAGTTTCATTTCAGTGTACTACACTAAACAATTCTTCTAGTTCCCTGTTTACATTCTTCATATATTTGCAGACCGGTATATTCCCCTCTCTTCCTGTATCTGTTGTATACCCAAATATTATGAACTAAACTGTCCAGATCTTTCCTGAAAAATCTATCCCTCTTATTGTCATTTTTTTCTGATCTATTTCAAACTCCCTTCAATTTGTCAATATTTTCATTATAATGTGTGGTCCAGAAGCAACTGTAGTAGTCCAGTTACTCCTACAATCTGAGCCATACATTCTATTGCCTCCCATCAACTGGGAACTTTTGCTAAGGCACTAAAATGCTCCGGCAGCCATTACACTCAGAAAATGTATGTCTATGATAATGTGCTGTCCATTATTACTTTAGATGTCCAATTAGGGACTTTACATGAAGTCCACTGAGGTCAATGGATAGACACCAACTGATTTTAAAGGACTTTGGATCAAGGTGTTACTAAGTATCTCTGTATGGAGTGTGTAGTTTTCTTGTTTGTATTACAGGTTGAACTTCTCTGGTCCGGCAACATCCATGATCTGTCAGGACCATGGTTACTGCTGGTCCAGATAGGCCCTGAACCAGACAGCCTTGATTTCTGGGAGCATGGACCAGCAGCATAGGGGATTGGTGGCCAGGAGCCCAGCCGGGGCTCGGAGCAGGGCTGATCCAGCAACCAGGAGCCTGGCCAGGGCCAGTGGCAGCTTAGAGCAGAGTCGGGCCGGTGGGGGAGGGGACAAGCAGTGACAGGAGGGCCAGCACCAGAGCTGGGCCAGCAACCTTGGGGCAGGGAGCCTGGCCAGGGCTGGAAGCAGAACCTGGTGGCTGGGACTGGAAGCTGGGTCCGTGGCTGTTGAGGGGGGCCCAACTAATAGGGGCCGGAACTGACCTCCTGTGGTCCGGCAAACTCCCTCACTCGGAGTTCCAACCTGCATCATGCATTTTTTTCCAAACTGAATTTCACTTGGTTATTTTTTGCAATATCCCTAATGAATTTCACAGTCTTCTGTTCTTCTTGCTTCATCGGGTTATTAGATTTATCTGGCATTCTGATGGAGATGTAGAGCCTGTTTTTGTAAATGTTATACTGAAAAAGCTCTATTATGACTCTATTCTGTCAAAATTTATTCTGAGGTACTTTATGTATCCTCCCCAAAGTTGTATTATTTTAAAACTACACACTATTATTGTGTGAATTATAGTATTATTATTGTATGTCACTTTAATAACCTTTTAGAAACATTATTAGATATCTGCCAATTTTATAACAGCGTTTTCTTGTTATACAGAAATAAAGAGTAGTTGTTATTGATTGCTCACTACCAGTTAAGTTTATTAAATTGTTTTATTATTATGCATAATTTTTATCAACCCCTAATTATGCTTTATTTCCAAATAGCATCCAAAATGCAACAATTATGCTCTAGTTTTCAAAAAACAAAGAAAACTAATCAAAGAAACCTTTTGTTTTTAATTTGTAAAGAGACCTATGACAGACAATCAGATCAGTCAAAGGGTGGTGTTACTGTAAAAATTAAAATCAGTAATAGTGACGTTGTCGAGCAGACACAATTCAATTAACAGCAATGGAGTTAGTAATGTCTAAAGAAAGCACTTAATTCACATCTTGTTAGTTAAAATGGTAACTGATTCCTGACTGCCTGCGTTTTCAAATCCACAAAAGACCTGTTTGATACCTGTTTGATATTAAGAAATGGACTGAATGAAAGCTATGACGAGGATTCCAAATGCATGTATTACTCTCCCAAACACGCATGCACAGCAGGAACACTTCTTTGATACTTCTTCAAATAGATCATTAAGCCTCTCTGAAAAATATGTAACCTAACACCACTTTATAAAATGGCATTAATTAGAGGAATAAAATACAACTATGGTTCTCCGCATATCTTGAGAATGTGCAGCCCCTTATGTTAGGGAAACAAACCCTTATCAACAGACGAATCATATGCAACTTATGGTTTGACAGGCTTTTTTCTTTAAACTATTTGTATGTCAGTTCTTGTTTGATTTTTAGAACGTAGCTTTCAGACAGTAATACTTAGAAAACAGATGCTCTATGTATGTAACACGTTGACTTGCCCCTTAAGGGCTGGAAGGGCTGGGACCTGCCAACCCTGGTTACAAAGGAGGCGTACCTCAGCTGGATCAGGGGACTCATAAAGAGCTCCAGAAAGCTGCAGAGGGTAGCTAACGAGCGCTCCAGCTAGAACTGGTTGTTTACTCTCCTTCATCTGAAGGTCCCTTTGGGAAGCCTGGCAATGTTGAAGGACAAAAACATCATAGCATAAAACATTTCTAACCTTAATTTTCTCAAGTATCATAATTAACATGGCTTTCTTGTTACAAGATACATTTCAAGGAATAATAGCCTTTTCTTGCAGAAATACTGTGCCTTTGAGTTAGCACCCTCCAGTCTTGCAGAGCTAGGAGGGAGAGGAAAGCATGTGTAGTGTCTACAGAACCAAGCCCCACCCTGCACTCAATTGCTTCCAGGCACGCTGCTTGCTGCCGTGAGTAGAGCTATTTGAAACAAAAATGGTCAAAATTTGTGGAAAATGTTATTAATATGCAAAAGTGCTGCTGATTTAAAATTTGAGTCATTAATTGAGAAAACAAGTACATCGGTGTTTGACAACCCGGAGAGAGTACTGCGCATGTGATTTACATAAAGGGAACAGCAAACTTTCAAGAAAATGAAAGCTATCATGACTCCGAGCTCTTTTTTAAATAAGTTTCTGGTTTCTTCCTCTGTCAAATTTTCTGGGTAAAATCCTGGCTCCACTGAACTCACTAGGAGTTCTAACTTCAATGGAGACAGAATTTTACTCATCTTTCTTTGGTGGGTTTTTTTTTTATATATATATAT